TTGGAGGTACTTTGTCGGGGTGCATCTCCGTTGAGATGAAGTCAATGAGAAATCAATGTCCTATCCGCCTTGCTATCATCCTGCAAGCTACAGCGTCTGGTATAAGATACTACAATGTATTGAAAGTATATTACCAGCCGTGGCCAGATACCAACTGCGTCATGTCACTGACTGTATGATTCAGCATACATACGTGCATCAAAATTCTGCGGCGGCTATTGGACGCCTCAACTGGTTTTGCTTCTGGGCTCCGGTGAAAGTTGAGAGCAGCCTGGACGGCACGCCGACGGGCTTGATAATAAATGTGGCCAAGGCTGATCTTGAGACACTTCGATTCTCACTTTTCCAGGCCCAGGTTCGTCCTGTGAATAACCAGGACGGAGTCCCGTTTCACTGCTTTATATGTCCTTCGTACGGAGTACTCCGTACTCAATAATCATTCTACTATTCTGCCGTCACAGGCCCTTGCACATTTTCCCACCCAGAGATTGATGGAAAACTTCCAGACTCATTACCGCAAGCCTTCACAGGTACTAGCGACGCCATCCGACAGAGGGACTCCCATTTCTACCTACTACTTGGTACCTCAGTAGGTATTGACGAAGGTAGGTACCTGATAGTTAGGGGTAGCTCTCAATTAGCCACTACCCGTGTACAAATATTGGACGCAGAGGTTCAATACATTCTAATGTTTCCAGGACGTGTCATTTCTTCGGTAATGCAGGGTTTATCTCACAACTCAGCAAGAGTCAACAAACAGTGGCAAATACCATCAGCCACTCTGTTCCTTTTCTGCTGCTCCGTAGTCATGACTGTAGTCGTAGGGGCTGGTGTGTGGAATTTGAACATCTCTGCTCTCACAAGGCCTTTTGTCATCCATGAAGACCATTAAATGATGACGGAGAGATTACACGGAGCCCCAGGCAGCTTCCATCCGTTCTGGCTCCTAGTTTCCCTCTACTTTCTGGGATCAAAATTCATCGTATAGAGTTGAGATGAACGTCGCATACGGAGTGACAAATAGCCATGAAAATCGTACAGCCAGAACTGAGATTTGATCCGTTGGGCACGTCACATCTCGGGCCATTCCTTCCTTCCTCCTAGTCTCAAATAAGCATATTTGCGAAGGCTGATGGTACTTCACTTTGGGAAGATGATGGGGCAGGCTGCGTGCATTCAACATTTTCCTAGCACATGAATCAGGAATTTTGTTATTGAGGAGTCAGAGATCGCCATTTTCTTGATTGACCGACGCATTACAGTGCCTTATCAGTCGGGAAACCATAAATAATATTCGTTCGGCAAGTCAGTCTCCCCATCTCTGATCGGGAATGACAAGATAAGTAAGGCTACTCTAAACACTGGATATCGTTGACTGAGAGGGCCGTTGTATCTTTTGCAAGAACTCTATAGTCCACCATGCTCACAAGTGTTCTTTAGTAATGAATATATTCATGCGGGCGGCTTAGCTGGTGCGTGTATAATACCGACACGGCTGAGCCGCGTCAGGTTCGAGATTTCATGTTAGAACACAGGCTAATATTTATCACCAACGGAGGAAATAAATGTCCTCAACATAGACTAGAAATTTGAGCTATACCCATACTAATTATAAGAGCATTTCCCATCCATATTTGCACGTGTATCTCATAGTACCGTACACTTAACAGGCAATCCGCATGGTCCCCCCTTTACTTCTTTTCTCTTTGGTTGTGTGGTATTTGTCGGGGAAGAGCCTGCTGCTTTTTGCTGTGTTCCGTTTCCAGGCAAGGCCCCCCTCTTCTCGCCATTCCTATCATGCAGTCATCCGAAGGCTTTAGAGACAATTTGATAGAAGTTTTCACCCTGGATAGTGGCTAGCTCAAGCTCAAGAGCAGACGGCTGGCGTGATCCATCTGCCCCCGCAAATGTACCAGCACCCCAGGGACTACCACCCCGGACCTCAGAGAGGTTAGTTAGTTGGGGGAAAGTCTTTGCGTACCCAAGAGGGACATAAATAATGCCGTGGTGGGTAAGGGTGGACATTGCTGCAATTGCCGTTGATTCCTGTCCACCACCAGGGGTGCCAGTAGACACGAAGATTCCAGCATACTTGCCAAAGTAGCCGCCAGAAGCCCAAATGCCACCAGTTTTGTCCCAGAAGGCCTAGCTCAGACGTTAGTTTTAAGCAGCCTAAGTAATGGTACTCGTAGACAGCACCATAGCTGACACCTCATTTCTTTAGGGGGGGTCACGAACCTTCCACTGCCCAGGGAAGTTGCCGTATCGAGTAGGGATACCGAGAAGAAAGGCATCATATTTCGTCAAGATAGCTGGATCCTCGAGAGCCGGAATATCAGTAGGCTTTGGAGGAGCGTGCATCTTGCTCAGAACTTCATCGGAGAGCGTTTCAGGTATCTGGAATAAGTCGGCTGTGCCACCAGCCTTCTCAATGCCTTTCTTCTCGGCCTCGGCGAGCTGCCGAATATGGCCGTACATGGAGTACTGTTAAATGAGAGGGTTTAAGTCAGTGAATGAAACACCCGGACGGATATAAGAAGCAGAAGATGGTAATGATAAGCAAAGGAGTGGAGGGCCAGATGACAAGCTTCAAACAAACGTCGGCTCTGGGTGGTTTACCAAAAGTCAAAATGAGGTGAGGTAGTTTGGAAGGACATACAAAGACAATGGCAATCTTCGGGGCCATGGTTGTTCTGTTGCAGAAGCCTCGTGTATTTTGAAGAGAAGGGTAGTCAAGAGACACGTTCAGGCCGATAGTTTAATCAAGGATGAATTAAGCCTGTAGAAGATGGACAAAGAGAGTCGGAAGACGCGGAGCTCTTATAGCTCAGAAAGCTTCGAGCAGCTTGACTAATTCAAAGGTAATCCTGACCAGACATCTCAGTGGGACATTCGCCCAACGAATCCACCTGGCAAGCATTAGCCTGACGCCAACTCCCGCACTTGGACAGGAGGTAGCTGTGACATTGACCTTTAGGGTCGTTATGTCACTGATGTACCGGTACCTTCATCGTTGGCTGCGGGGGGCGTTGGTATGTCAATGAGTCGAGCTGCGTCGTGCTTGCTGTCACCACTCGATGTGACGCTATTCCTCTCAAGAGCCGAGAAATTAAGCCAACCAAGCTTGCCCAGTCATTATTGCCTGGCACCTCTGTGACCGAGACTCTGAGCACCAAGCAGGTTCAACCAACAATAAATATACTGCAGAGCTTTGACTTGGGATATGTGTCTATCTATCTAGAATTAGTAGGTAGACTTCGAGCCACTCATTGCTTGGCTCACTTGAATAACCAGACATTTAAAAGTGACCAAGGCCCAGAGCTTTATGGACGGCAACATTATTACACCAGCACCCCGCCCCTAGCACCCGCCGCTTGCCCCACTTCAAGCCCATGTATACGCAGTTGTTAACGAGCAGGACCCGACACTGTTCTCAAATGTCGAATCGCTAGATCAGTCTGGTGTATCGGTACCACATGGAGACTTGAGAAAGCCGGACCCATCCGCTCATCCAATGTATCAGGTATAGGTACGATGTTCTTGGATGGCAGGAAGTCCGCCACCAAATACCTGGGTACCTCTTAAGTAGGTAGGTAGGTACCTAGGTAGGTAGTATTACTGATTCTTACCAAGACCCCGCAGCCCAAGCCATGTTGCCATCGAGCCGACAACTGGCTTAGGTAACGCTTGGATAAGCTCAACCCCAATGATTGTTAATGTTGGTGCATGGCCGCCACATCTTGCATCCCCTAAATGCAGCGAAGGCGGCAGTGAGGTCACGGGCTCCATAACGCCCCTGCCACCGGCCGTAAACCTTAAGTAACATTAATAATATTTATATTAGGCCTAATAATAGTGTAATTATAATATATATAATATAATTTCTTATAATATAAAAGTTTATAAGGACTTTTCTTATTATATAAATTAAGTATAAAATTAAGTACCTTTTAAATATTAGCTTTTAATTGGCTTAAAATCCCTGTCGTGACCTCGCTGCCGCCTTCGCTGCATTTAGGGGATGCCCTTATCCACACCCAACGAGAGCTTCTGAGAGGCTAGGACATCAAAGAAATCCATCTAGGCACGTGGGTACCCAGGGGGCCCAAGAGGTGTTTTGGTGACCATACCTACTCCGTAGGCAATGACGAGACAGTTTATCTGAGTTCCTATTTAGTGCAGACTGCTTAACGACCCGTGGAAATTTATGGCCTGTCTTGTGAGAACTGTGCCTCAAAAACAGGAGCCGCATGCTTATAGGTGGATTTCTATGTACTCAACCGCTCCCATACCTTCAGTAGACATCCAGCAAATTGTGATGAGTCAGGATTCTGTAACGGCAGCTCCTCGGCGCTTCGAAAACAAAGAAATCTCTAGTTACACTCCGCTGTTTCATGGTCTGTTGTAGTGAACTGGAGGGAGAAGCCTTCCCCCAACAGCCATTACCAATGTTCAACTGGGGGTAGCCGGGACGGACACGGTGTACAGCGGTGCAAGAGGCAAGTAGTAGATCAGACCTCGAGCGTCATCCTGCCTCTTCTCTTCCACTCTCTCTCAAATTCCTCTCAACAATACCAGGTCATTTGGCTGATTGATTTTGTCCTGCTTCTGACCGGAATCTAAAATGTACGCTGGGGTTAGTATGAAAGAGTACAAAAAGGAGTCATGGTGACTATAAAACACCATATTCTCATTGAACTGACTGCCATGTGTATAAGTATGTACTCTATAATTCCCAATGCCGTTTACAATGAAAGACCAGGGGCAAAAGCCGTGCAACGTACGGCGAACAGAAGTGATGTTTTCAGGGATGCCGTCCACATGAGCAGCAAACCGAGATATCCATTAATATATTTCCTTGCGAAGCATAATTGCTTGCCACGGTTGAAAAGTGCCGAACTGGGAAATCCCAGAGCAATAAATAACAGGACGGCAAAAACTATCCAAAACGCCACGCAACCGTCATTATTCGTTAAGGCCCAACATCACTTCCCCTCTGATCATAATACATTATCATCTCGAGATTCTTCGTTCAGTGGCTGGATTACAATCGCCGGAAGCCTAGATATCCGCAAGCTGGGTAACTGAGGTGCGCCGCCAACCCCCCTAGATGTATGTAGCGGAGACGGTGTTCTCCTTTCTCCGGGAATTGGATGAGCAGGCCCTGTTGATGTCTGTTCAGTCTGCGGGATATGCTCGTTTGGTCCAGAATAATCCGGTGGCGGCTCATTCGACGGGGTCATGGGTCCTGCCACTTCCCCGGCATCATCTTCAAGAGACACAACCTCATACCCTGGAGGGGGGTTTGGTTCCAATCCCAAGTCAACTTCCACAAGCTCTGGGCTGGACGCAGCCGCGGGCTCTCCGCTCAGTAACCCTGGTGCAGTAGGTCCTGAATTCGCCCGCGTCCTGGATGGCTCCGGGTTAAATTCACTATCAACACTAACCAGAGAGCTGACGCTTCGTTCTCGGCGATGCAGTCCCAATGATGAACCAAGCTCAGATCGGGCTGAAATTGCGATGCTGGCAGCATCAGAAAGCAGACCGATACGCTCACTTTCGTTGCTACTCGCCCTGATCCGAGTCCCGTCGTGTCGCGCAACGCCCAAATCTGCGTATGAAACGCTGGAAACAGATCTCTGTCTCTGGTCTTGTATACGACTAACTTCTTGGTGGAGTTCGTCAAGGTTGCTGTTGTTGCTAGCAGCGCGAGATCGTGCTCTGGCATCGGCCAAGCTATTACTGTCACCTCGCTGTCGAGCGTCGCGGCGTTGTCGCCTCAGCTCATCACGCTGCGCAATCTGTTCTCGTCTAGCAATTCGTATTTGATATATTGCTTCCATTTCCTCTTCCCGTAAAGATTCCTCCTCCTCAGCAGTAGGGAGATCGACAATGACGTCAACGCCATCTCTATCGCCTTCCCTCCCGAGAACCTGCTCATTATTCCCAGCAGTAGCACGGTATGCAGGCAATGTCATCACAGAACGAACAGAGGTGTTGCGGTCAACAGAAGCCCCGGTTCGATTCGTTCGTGTCGCTCTGCTCCCTGATTGTCGTGAATCTCGGAGGGTATTGACGTGATTGGCAGACACTGCCGTTGGTTCGAGCTGATGAATCTGTGCTTCGCCATCGAGATTCTCACCAGAAGTTTGTTCATATCTTCTATGACCAAATCGCTTGCGCCCTAACACGTGGAGGACTGGCCATCGCCCGCCTGATCCCGCATCTTGATCGTCTGGCCGGGGACGACGTGCTCTAAAGAAAGCGACAAAAAGGACCGATACGAGTGCAAATAACACAATGACGGCTAGAATAATCTGTGGGGTGTCCATTGTTAGACAGCAGGACTTGAATTCCTAAGATGAACGAAATAACATACAATAAGTGTCAAGTTTTTGTTGTTAAGGTCTCGGCGACGTAGCTGCCAGGTGGGTTCGATCAGGATGTGGGTAGTGGACGTCCGCGGAACAGGTGGATGTGGGAGACGCATGTTTTCCCGATTGTTACCGTATAGAGAAATGACTACATGACTTGGCATATAACAAGGCTAAAACGAGGAATAATTCCAGAGTAGACTATTTCAAGTGTGGTTTCCTTGGCGGCTGATCGGTACGTTCTTTAATGGCTTGGCCAGGCTAGATCACGGAGCTTAGGCTAGACGTTGGCTAAAGAGTTGTATCTGGTGAGCAAACTCGAGACAGACGCACAGCACAACACGTAGGTACAGCTTCGGAGCTTGAGGCACACCGCAAACTGTTAAGGGCGGCGCTCGGTGACTGGTTATTGCTTGAAACGGTGAGGACAGGAGAAAGTTGTAGATCTAGTAAAACTGTTGGTTCGTATCGCAAAAAGCTCCTCAGGCTATGCCATCCACCATCCCCTAAATGCAGCGAAGGCGGCAGTGAGGTCACGGGCTCCATAACGCCCCTGCCACCGGCCGTAAACCTTAAGTAACATTAATAATATTTATATTAGGCCTAATAATAGTGTAATTATAATATATATAATATAATTTCTTATAATATAAAAGTTTATAAGGACTTTTCTTATTATATAAATTAAGTATAAAATTAAGTACCTTTTAAATATTAGCTTTTAATTGGCTTAAAATCCCTGTCGTGACCTCGCTGCCGCCTTCGCTGCATTTAGGGGATCTGCGGCAGCTGAAGCGGCGTCTGGTGGTTATAGCAACTCCCTATCCCCTAAATGCAGCGAAGGCGGCAGTGAGGTCACGGGCTCCATAACGCCCCTGCCACCGGCCGTAAACCTTAAGTAACATTAATAATATTTATATTAGGCCTAATAATAGTGTAATTATAATATATATAATATAATTTCTTATAATATAAAAGTTTATAAGGACTTTTCTTATTATATAAATTAAGTATAAAATTAAGTACCTTTTAAATATTAGCTTTTAATTAGCTTAAAATCCCTGTCGTGACCTCGCTGCCGCCTTCGCTGCATTTAGGGGATTGTAGTCAGCCGCCGTGGCGACCTGAGCCACCACCATGTTAGCTGTCCAGCCAATAGAGGCATGGGAATGGCGGGCCGAAGGTCAAGGTTGGAACACGTTCAGTTTCCACCTTGGCACGAGTACAGGTGAGCGTGGGGGACCTCAGCTCCAAATTGCCAGGCTTCGCGGCCAGGAGAATAGTCAAGCAAACCAGAGAGAAGTTTATCCGGAGAAAAACAGCCATCTGCAGGTGATTAGTACAAATGAATCTCGGCACAGTGCCGCAGAGTGTCCAAGCTTACAAGGGTTATTTTTTTCCAGTTAAAGGACATGTGGTGTGGCTGGGCTGTCCACCTTTGGACTCTGGAGGCTCTTGCATCTGCAGGAACTGAGATGCAGACGCACGCCCTCGAATAGGATAGTGATAATGGATCAACGGAAAGGCACATACTATAACTATTAGGCGCATCAGACTTCCCAGTCATCAGCCGGACGCAAGCTTATGTATTATACGCCGCCAACGCCATCCGGTCACAAGACAAGAAAGGCCAATGCCAAAGAGAGAGAGCCGAGTTGTACGTGGGAACGACTCGTCAAACCCCCCCCCCCCCCCCCCCC